CCAGAAAGACGGTGGTTCGGTTTGAGTCTTTCTAGAATGATGGCATCCTTAATCTCGAAGCAGCTGATCGTTATATGCTTTGAAGTTGCACTTCAAAATAATTAGAAATACCCTCTACCAGTTCAACCAGTTTCAAAATGAACAGAACTGGTTGCACGAAAACATGATGCCAAAAAAAGAGTTTAATATTGGATTTTGGTATTTACAAAAAAAAAAAAAAAAAACTAACTATGAGCGGGAAAGTACCCGATGGGGACGTATGCATACATGAAACCCAAAGTTCAATGATCCAGGATTAATATTATTTTAATGCAATATTAAATGCGGGGACCGGAGACCATCTGATACTTTTTCTGAGCTTGACATGCGGGTTCTATCAACGAATTGTTGTCGAAGGCTCACTGTGCCGATCATTATTGTTACCAGAAAATAAACATATTTCCCTGAAAGAATTAAGTTGTTCATTGGAAGGGGGCGAGATGCTAGTTTTGTTCCATCACAATTTCATGGAGTATTTTATGGACGTTAGCTAGTTAATAAACCGACGTCCACTCCATTGCTCCAGGGCCAAAACTGTACACAAAACAGCCACGAAACTACCATGGGAACAACAAAAAAAAAGAAAAACTCGAAAAATCTTCAATAATCTACAAAATAAAAAAATCTTAAGTCACCAAATGTATACAACTGCAAAGCCAAAGTAAAAAATATTGGATTTGCGTTCACTACTGCTCTAAACAAGATCAAGCGAAACAAAACCAGGCTCCAATTCAGACAGCTCTGTCTCCTCACACGCCCCACTTGCTGATTCTGATCGCAGCAGCGAAAATGACTGTGGCCGCAACTGGGATTGAAATCAGAGCTTCCTCCGGTTTCATTGGACAGCTCATTTCCACTTGCTTCTTCCTCTGTTCTTGCTCTCACCAATTCCCATCCTTCACTGTCCCAATTCACTGTCCCTTCACTGTCCCCAGCCAACCCCCTTATCCTCTCCATCCCCAGTCTCATCAAATCATCGTCAACCTCCTCCTCCTCCTCCTCGTCGTCCTCAAATTCTGAGCTGACCCAATCAAGAACACACCTCGGCGAAAGCTCCGGTGCAGTCTCCGCCTCAAGAAACGGGTGCCGGAGCAGCTCCTCCGCCGTCCACCGCTCCTCCGACCTCCTCCTCAAGCACTTGTCGAGAAAATCTCGGACCTCGCGCTCGCCGGACGACGCACCGGGTGATAACAACTTGTGTTGTTTGAGGGGAGGAAAGAGGGGAGGGGGCTATGAGATCGGAGGAGGAGGGGGGGCGATATTTTGAGGGGAGGGGCTCACGGGTGGGGAGATCTGTTTGAGGGGAAGGGGCTCACGGGTGGGGAGGTGGTTGGTGTATATACCAAATGGACGGGACTACTAGTCCCGTCCATTTGGTTTGAAATAAATTGCCCGTGGCAAAATCGACCCTGTTGAGATAAAAAAGGTCGATTTTACTGTTTTTTTTATGAGAAGGTCGATTTTGCTTATTAATTTTGCAAAACGGTTGTTTTCAAAAATTTGTCCTATAAATAAACAAGTTAAGGGACCTAGGATTTCACATGTCTTTTGGATCATGAATGAACGGTTCAGATTTGTACTTGGCATAATATAAATAGCTTTAACAAGTGCCCTATCTCATAACCCTAGATCTGATTCATCTGAAACCGCCGAACTCTCCCCCATAATCTCCGCCACAACTCCCTCATCATCTCCGCGCCTCCTCTACCTCCGCCGCCTCCAGTCACCGCCTCCAGCGCCCAGCGCCGCCAAACCCCCAGCCCGCAGCCCCATCCTCCTCTTCCCGAGCCTCCAGCTCTCCATCTTCGACCCCCTGTCCAGATCCGCCCGAACTCACCTCAGGCCGCCGCCTGACCGCCGCCGGCAGCCTCGAGATCCAGCGCCCAGCCGCCTCTCCCCTGACGTCAATGGTAAATCTCTGTATCTGTTAAATATGCATATTCTTATGATTGTGGCTTTTTCCTTGCAATGTTTCTTTGCTCTATTCGGCCATTGATTTTTCTTTGCTTCTACTTCTAATTTTCCTCTCAAGTTTCAGACATTCTTGTTCATCAAGACCATTTTCATTTCTGGATTTATAGTGAAATAAGTATATTCACAATTGTTCTAGTACATTTGTGGCTTATCATAGTAAGGTTACTAAATTCATTAATTAGCTTCTGGCTAATAAGATTGGGAATCTTTGTTCTGCCCATTAAATGCTAATCCTTTTGATGTATGAAATGTTAAAGATATTGATTTTGTCTTGTTGAAGCAGTAAATAAACTCAATGTTAAAGATCTCCTTTTGATGTGGCTAGTTTGTGGTCTGGATTTGGTTACTATTAAAGAAGAGGTTCAAAGGTCAGAAACCTATTAGTACTCATTTTACTACAAAAGTTAGAGTGTAGCTTCATGGCAAGTGGACTTTTAGAGTTATCATAGGGGTAGGTATGTGTTTTGGGGATCAAAATATAGTTTGAGATATTGATGGCACGTAATTGTGATCAGAAGTTGCGTTGCCAGCCCTAAGAATCAAACAAACACAAATTAGAGATCTTTTTTAATAACATATAGCAAAAATATGTTAAAGCTTTAGTTGACATGATATCAAGTTCAATACTTCCATATGCATAAATTTGTGTTTCAGCTTTACTTCTACAGCACACAAAGAAAGGCTAAAGTAATATATCAATATATTAATTAAAATGCATCATGTCAGAGTTTTTTTTTGTTATATGTAAGCTTTGCCAGAAGCAGAGGATAAACTTTTTGTAAACTATATTATATACATGCCAGTAAACAACAAAGCAAATAATTGTGGTCTTCTCCATTGACATATCAAGCATTAAAGGTAAAATATTATACAGTTAATTGGGCAAATGATGATCCAGAATGATTACAAACAATTTATTGATTTTGTCTCTTAATTCTTCGTGCAGGTGTCCTCAACACTGAAGAGCGTTCGTTACCTGGAATTCAAGAAGACTTGTGGTTATCAACAGAGTCAACCTCTACCTTAGATGGTGAAAGCTACAAATTGGAAAATCTTGAAGGAGACTTGTTTGAGAATGAACGAGCTTCCATCCACTTTTTTCTTAATATGTTCTTTTGGAAAGTTGTAAAACTTCTTTATGTATGAGTTAAGATCTTGGTGTGTAGCAAATTTCACTTTAAAATACCTCTTTGTTTCCTATGTATGTGGTAATGTGATACTGACTTACTAGATAAGTTGGATTATTGGATAAGCTGGTAACTGGTGATTGCTATGTTGTTTTAGATTCCAATTTCTTAATATATTGATTTGCGAATAATTGTCGAATATATATTGAATAGTTGATGAATAATTTGATATTTAAACAGGAAATAGTGTTAATCGAATGTTCGCGAATAGTTATCGAACACGAGCACAGATAAACGAAGCGAATTCGAAGTTTATATAGTATTCGTGTCGAATTCGAACACGAACACGAATAGTCCTAATTGAGCCGAATTCGAATTCGAATAAGACAGTATTCGTTCAAATTCGCTTCGTTTCCACCCCTAGTCCCCATATGATTCAAATTGAAATGATTGAAGAAAAGCACAGGGTGTTAGCAATGTGTTGCATTGTGGCAGCGGCGGTGGAGTGGGCGAGAGTTATATTGAGTGGTGCGGACAGTTGGCTTCGTTTTCATTCTGCATTTCTTCATGTGCATGTGCGTGAGCGTGTTGTCTCCATGTACGTGGCTGTGGGTAAATTCCACAAAACCTCCGACTTAACATTATTATGTTAACTGGTTTTGTGGGTTGCTACACATTCATATATACAAAAATAATGGGCATACTTTTTGTGTGTTCATCTTTGTTGATCGTAGATTCCAGCAGATGGTCGACTAGCTGCAGTTTTTGTGGTTGGGTTTTCACTAGCAGGTACATTGTGTTTAACTAATCAATTTATGATGTTCGGTTGATACAATAAACAGAGTAAACAGAATAAAGGTATGAGTCAGTTTTTGTGTAGCTAAGACAGGTTAGTCGTATCTCATTGTTAATGCAGATGATGGTGAAAGCGATGAACAATTAGTCTTAGTCAGCCAAAGTGGAACCATAAACAGAATAAAGGTTCGAGATATATCTATTCAATCTCGGGTGGCAAGGTACGGAAGCCTACAGATGACTTATATTTTTTATGCCTGTCCATAATCAGTACTGAATTTTGAATTGTGATGTTTTCAACAATAATTCCTTCTTTTTTTGCCCTTATATTTTAGAAAGGAAGGAAATTAAGTATCCTAATTCCTAAATACAGAATTTTTTGGTACTCAAAGATGTCTATATATTAGTTGAGATTGAAATGTTCGCAATAGTTTATGTAGCAGAAAATGCTTAGCTTAATACAAATAGTGGCTGTCTTCATTATCCCTGTAATTGTTCCTTAAACTCGGAAACCATCTATGCAACGACAGCCCTACATATTTGATTTTACTAGAAATGCAATAGACCGGTAATCAAGAAAATTATACTGGCTAAAGATCAGATCTCATGTGTATATTGTAGAGATAAAGATATCTTAGTGTTTGTTGGGATAATATGCTCATATCACACTTAAAGCAATTATTTAATTTTTATAAAGATATATTCATTAGTATTGTTCGACTTGTTTATTTTTTGATCTTAATTACTTAGGAGTAACTATTACTCATTATATTTACATAACAAATATTAATGTTGGTTCCTCAATAGCTTGTCTAAGTCAACCGAACATGTAAGAATGCAGCTATCCCTCTGTGTTTAACCGCTCACAGTTTGTTGTAATCAAATTTACTCCGGAGATTGTGGGTAGAAACAACTTTAATATTTAGATTTTTCAGATTGGGTTGTTTCTTATTAGCATTTCTTTTCTCAAATCATCCTTTTAGTTTGTCTTTGCTCAGGAGTCATGACAGTTTCCTTATTCGTTTTTCAGGGGAGTTATTTTGATGCGGTTAGAGCATGCTGGAAAAATCCAATCTGCTTCCTTGATTTCTGCAATGGAAGATGAAGTGCTGGCTGAAGATCAAGTATGACGTATGTTTTGGTCAGAATTGTGTTGCATTAAAATGCAAGTAGACCGTGAAAGCTTATCAGGTAACAGAAGCTCGATAGTGAAGTTTGAAGGCACGTTGCATGATCTCGCAGAAGACAGGTTTCATATGCTTCATATAACGGTCTCTAATTTATCTGCAGCTGTAAAGGGGTGGGCTTTTACAGCGATTTTGATCATCAACCGTCACAATCTTGTACACCATGTAAAATGACGTGTAAGTTCATTTTATCCAGATCTATAGTTTAGTCTATTCCATTGTTCCCCAATATATTAAAGGATGTCACTAAACTGCCTAACTAGCGTTGATCCTATTAGCTTTGGTACGTCAGCTAAGAGAGGAGTACTAAGATGAGCTGTATGATGGTTCTACAGCCAAGGAATGAGTCCCAAGTCAATATTTAAGTAATTTGAATCCCCATCAAATAATTTGATTATATCTCCATATTTCAACGTGCATAGCCTAGCACTTACGTGCACTGCAAGGTTTTCGTGAATAATGTATTTGCTTTATGAGTTTTATTGCCGCATCATTATTCATCATTTATCAAAAAAGCCGCGGTCCACATAATAGACCAATTCTGACCCCAAGGCTGGAGGTATTATTCACTGGAAGCTTTATCTAGAAGGGTACAGGAAAAACACTTTGGGGGGGTCTCTAGATAATATGTAGTCTTAATCCAAAAGCCTGGATTGTGCTTCTCAAAGCGGTCAGAAAACAACCATGTGTCCAATCAAGATTTCCATCGTGTAGTAATTAATTATCATATTTCCACAAGTTACTACTGTACTCCCCAGGGATCAGGAGTCTTCATGATCAGACCAATACTTGACGTTGCAGAGACGTGCGTCTTATGAACATCTAGAAGTTGA